TTTTCGTAAGATGAAGCATTCGTAAGTAGAGGTACCACTGTATTATGTTGACAAACGTGTTGAAATGCTTTAAATTCCCTCATTGATCAATGGAAAAATCTAGGTTGGTATGTAAATGAATAAAATTACTAGTTACAGATCGTTATGGGGTGAGGAGATAAATTCAGTACACCCAATTTGTTCATGTTGTCCCCACTGCATGGCATATATTTAAAAACAATTTTAATTTTTCACAGGTGAATACTTTCCCCAGCACTCAACTATGAATTCCTCTGTTGAAAGCAGTCATCTGAGGCAATACGATGTCACTGGTTTGCCTGACCTCACCGCAGGCTCTGCCTCAACAAGGAAAGGAGACGGCCTTGTGACGATCTTCATCATTGTGGCCATTTTTGTTCTCTTGGCTGTTATTATTATTGTGACAGTTCATTATGCTCCACAGTTACGCAAAGCCCAGCTCAGCCTATACCATGAGCCTATGCCCCAAGATATGGAAAATGGGGTTCACTTAACATACTGGAGGAAACTTGGTTCCCAGAAAAAATGCGACATGCAATCTACTCTGACACTGGAGAATAATAATACTACTGGCCTTAATATTCAGTACGGGAGTGCAAAACCAACCATCATAGAAATCACTTCTTTGTGAAAATGTTTTAGCAAGCTTACCCTCCTGGTCCCTATGGAGGTTCTTCTAATATGGCTGATGCTCTTATCAAAGCCCTTGTTGAGCTCTGATACACAGAAATGATTAAAACAATTGACATGATCACTCATCTCTTCTGCTACTTTGCTGGGAACAAGATTGATGAAACAACAGAGACAGAAGCTAAAGTGAAGGAAAACTCAAGAGTGAACATGTTCAGATATGGATAATGCCTCAGGGTCTACTTTGTAGCAGTGGGGGCAGTGAAGAAAAACGCTAATCTCCATGACCACTGTGTCCATGTCAAGTGATTATAGCTATTTGCTATCTGCATTTCCAGTGTAGCTTTCTAGAACCTTTTGTTAGCTTCTCAAGACTTATTTGTGGAGTATTTCATAGATAAAATCACTCACATCCACTCCAGCTTGATCATCATCACTATTGTAGAACTGGTATGAAATGTTATGTCAGCTGATAGGGTGCTTGTAGAGGTGTGACTTACCACAAGCATGCACAATACATGCTCATCATGGCTAATACACACTGGTGTATTTTTAACATCATGCATATTTAACTGGTTGTGTGTATGACTGAATGGCTCCATGAGTGGTTAGTGCATCCTTGCTCTTTTGAAGGTGGCGATTATGACCACAATGTTGACTAGTCCTTCCTGCATCTAACTTATTTTTCTGACTAAGAACTGATCAATAATCTACCTGTCTTGGGGATGATGTTCAAACTGTGATGGTCATCTAAGTTTACCTAGAGGAAATTTATTATCTAAACCTATTCCAATATTTTTTCACCATTGCTTGGTACTAGGTTGCATGCAGAGGAGTTCAATCCAGACAAAATGGAAATTATTTTGTTAGAAAGCAAAGTTGATCAGGGAGTTAGTATCCAGACGTTTCTGGATGGGACTGCATTCCTCTAAATGCAGAGCTGTTCAATCCAGCCCTGCAGGTACAGTCATCCCTCTGTATCCACAAATTCTTTATCCACAGATTCAACCATCCATGGCTTGAAAACATTTAAAACATATATAAATTCCAAAAGGCAAACCTTGATTTTGCCATTTTATATAAGGGACACCATTTTACTATGCCACTGTATTTAATGGGACTTGGGTATCCACAGGTTTTGTTATCCATGGAGGGTCCTGGAACCAAACCCCAGTGGATACCAAGGGCCCATTGTGTATGTCTACAAGCCCATGACTCCAAGTGCCTTGCATCAGCTTCTTCTAATGTGTCAGGTGTAAGTATTACCAAGGGCCTTTGCAGACTGCCAG